AAACATTTTGAAAACCATTTATCATTTTCCTTCCACTTCACAATTATGTGCCACTTTGTGTTGGTCTATCACATAAAATCCTAATAAATACATTTACATTTATGGTCGTAACATGACAAAATGTGGAACATTTCAAGGCACTGTACCTAGCCCATGGCAGCTTTGAATCTGCACCTCTCAGCTTTATATTAATGCACAGGAGAAAGTGGATGGAGACACAGGCCCCACACCTATGTAGTGGAAGTGCATGATTTTTGGAGCATTTTTCCCACAAACATACAGAGGTCAGCCTATTGAACACATGGTAAAGCAACTTGTGGGATATTTTGACGTGCTGTGATTTGTACCTTTTTTTTTTTCTTTTTACTATGCGTTTTGCTGTGTCTGTTGCACATTTTATCATGCGGCAAAAAGCATGTTCGTACCCGCATCTGATGTGCCATTAATCATTAATGGCACTAAAAGCGTGACTCGTTCATTTTAGGTGTACAAAGGTGGCCATATACTATGCAGTCTGTTTGTAAACTTTTTGTACAATCTACTTTAAGCTGGCCATACATCGATCGAGTTGTGATCCATGTATGGGATGATTGTACACAAGTTGATCTTTTGATTGACTTGCGTACAACCAGCCTGTCGGGGTTTTCCCAATTAGTGCTGTTGGCTATAGCCGGCAAGGCCAATCATTGTATTCTGCTGGCGGGGAAGGCTCCAACCACTCTAATTAGGCAGGCTCTTGCGCTACATAGTTGATGGTAGATCTAAAGCAGATTGTACAATCAGAGTCAATAGTGTATGGTGAGCTTTACAGACTTCCAGGGACACACTTCTCCTATTTTCAATACTACAGCTCTGCTCCAAATAGGCTCGACACCTGCACTCTCTGCCAAATTACCTTCTTCTTGCATAGATTGTTCAAGTACAAAATGATCAGTCAGCAGAGGAAAACGCTGGGTATGTATACAAGGAGAATGGTGCTCACTGACAATGACTGCATATAACTACAGAGGTGGGTTGGAGTAATCTCCCAGAGGGAGAGGGCAGATGCAGGGTGTCTGTTATTGAGGTCAGTTGGGGAAGTACTTCCTTAGTATTCTAACAATTTTCACATCCCAAAGGACAGATAGCAAGAAGCCATGGAGAAATTTTCTATACAAGAAACTGGAGGCTGAGGTGATGCCTGCCCTAGAATATAGAAAAAAAACAAAAAAAAAAAAAACGTCTTTCTGCAACAGAGGTACATTAATGGTATATTGATACATAGGGAAGGTGGAATTTAGAAGGAAAAAAAAAGTGAACTTTTACACCTTCAACATTTAACATTCTTGCTTCAATGCTTAGAGTCACTGAACTAGTAGACAACTTTTAAGAGATTCAGGACCTACATCGTTTTCACAGGTCAGGTACTCAAAAGGTAATGAAGGCAGAAGGTCAGCAGAACAGCCAGGTAACAGTGGCGGTCCTGTATTTTGCTCATGACAGGTTAACTTTTAAAGACATTTTAGATCCATACTGCATTGAGAAATGACAAACTACCTCATGGTGGCCTCGGAGTTCCTTGTATCCAGGTTTTAAACACCCTATATAGACAAAAGTTTGTGGACACCTGACAATCGCATCTTTACGAGCTTGTTGGACATCCCAGTCCAAAAACCACAGGTTTAATATGAAATTGCCCTCTCTTTGTGGCTAAAAACAGCATCCACTTTTTTGGAAAGGCTTTCCAAAAGATTTTGGAGTGTTCCTCTGGAAATATGTCCCAGTTCAGCCAAAAGAACATTTGAGGTCCATTGCTGAGGTTGAATGAGAGTGTCATAATTCATCTGAAAAGGTGTTCAGTAGGGTTGAGATCGGGGCTTCATGCAGGTCAGTTAACTTGCTTTACTACCCCATGCACACTTAGGCTACGTTCACACTAGCCTTGTGTGCAGGCGGCAGAGAGGCGTTTGGGAAGCGTTTTTACCGCTTCCCAAACGCCTCTGCCAATTCTGCACATTACAGCACATGGTGCTGTTCTAACAGAGCGTTTGCGTCGCGGCGGCAAAACGGACGCCTCTGGACGAGTCAGGAGGCTTTGAAGCCTCCTATTCTCGTCTATGGTGCGGCTCCACAAACGCCCGGCCGGCGTTTGCGGTGCGGTTGCGACGCGGTTGCGGGGCGTTTGCGGAGCGGTAACACCACTCAAACTGCATTATAGGCGTTTGTGGGGCGTTATTAACGCTCGGCAAACGCCTAGCAACCGCCGCTAAACCGCGCATGCGGCGTTTGCGGAGCGTTTGCCGAGCGTTAAAAAACGCTCCGCAAACGCCGGACCAACGCTTGCCAAACGCTATAGGGGCGTTTTGGCAAGCGTTGGCAAAACAGCCTAGTGTGAACGAGCCCTTAGACCCAATGCATGGGGCTCAGGTGTTTAGCCGTGGATTGAGTGCAGAGGTGTGCCGTAAAGCTCCTGTGCTGCAGGCAGACTGTCAAGATCTATGTGAGGCTGACAGTTGCTGCACGTTTAGGGAAATATGCGCCCAAAGGACAAATGCCCAGAATGCAAGTAGTCAGCGCATAATGTACTAAACATAAATACTACCAGATGCACTGACCAGCCCTGTCCAGCTGCAACAGCTGTCAGTCTCTAAGAGGTTGACAGGCAGGCTGCCTGCAGCAGGGCTAGGCAGCAACTTTGTGCCCTCCGCCTGCAGCTAAACGCAAGAGTCCCAGGTAATTGGGCTAAATGCCCAGTGTACTTGGATCCTAAACCAAATTTGACAAACCATGTCTTTATAAAGTTAGCTTTTTGCACAGAGGCACAGTCATGCTGAAACAGAAGAGGGCCTTAGCAGAACTTTTCACATGTTTGGAAGTTTCCAAGTGTCAGAACGCTCTTGGTGAACAATAGCATTAACTGTTCCCTTCACTGGAAACACATGATGGCAATTTTGAGGGGTGTCCACATACTTCGGGCTACTTAGGGTATGGAATAATAGAAAACCATAAATTTACCTTAGAAACCTGCTTTCAATGATCTAATAAACAATACATGACCATGTTAAATGAAATTCAGCAAAAGACACAGCTTAATCCAGTACAAGAAGTGACTCTGTTGGCTGCAGCCCAGGAGTATGGACCACTTTAAGGAATGTATCCCACCCTTTTAGGACTTTCACTGACCAAGAACAGTTTATCAAACCCCTCAGATACGAAACACATTAAGTTTAAAAACATACCTGAAATAGGAATCCCTCCCAGACCTGTGTTGTGTTGAGGAGGGTGGCTCAAGTCCATGAAATTACTGTTTGAGGTTGGGTTTGCCGTGTGGTTCAAGTGCATGATGTTATTGCGAGGAAAGGCCATCCACGGATACCGTGCTGCCTGGCCCGGGAAACTGTATGAGTTATAAACTGCTCTGTGTTGAAAGGGTGGGAACCGCTGTGGTAAAACAGGAAAGGTGCTAGAAATAGAGTTGGCATTGGTGACTGTGGTGGGGTGAAGGAAACCAGATCCTGGCCCTTTGGCAGTAGTGTGAGGAGAGGGGTTCTGAAGAGAGGTGGGGGACAGTGCTGGCTGGTCTTGAACAGACAGTTCCTTCTCTATCAAGTCTGCTAAGGCTTTGCGGGTGATATCAAAGGGATCAAAGCCCAAGTCGTCCTCTTGCTGTTTAGAAGAGCCAAAGCCAAATGCAGCTTGCCAGTCCGTAGAGGAGGAGACCGGGATTGTTTCTGCATAAAACAAAGGACAATGTCAGCATTGGGTTTTATTATGTTGCACCAAGTCATTCAATAGCACTTTAAAAAAAGAACACACAAGTACTTGTAGCTGTCCCCTTCTAGTAAAGCATATTATAAATTGTCCTGATAATGTTTATTTGTAACCACCATTATAGTGTGAACTGGGGTACCAGCCAACTAAGCCACGTTATCTTTTAGGTGTTGTGGGAGTAAAATGGTAGTACTCAAACTAGACCTACAAAGACACAGGCAGGAAAATCAAACGCCATGCAGGAAAAGCCAGATAAGGATTAAATGCTAAACCAGGGCATTCCCCTGTAACCTAGGCACTATGGTTTTGGTATAGCTAGGAACCGGTCTACAGTACAAGGAAACCCGGTCTTACCCTTATTCATGTCATGGTACCAGCAAAGGATCCAGGTTTTGCCAGCCACAGTAGGCAGACCTCTAAAAACTACACTACACCACGACAACATGCCAAGGTGAGTGCTTATGGAGGATACAGCACATGAAGCAAATATTACAGGCCGTCCTCACACAGTGTAGTCCCCAAGGTGGACACCAAGGGTTATTGACCTGGAAACTACTAAGTAGCTATGAGCAGTAAGAGCTTGACATAAGTGAATTGAAGGAAAAAAGCTAGAACAAAAAAAAAAAACCCAAAAAAAAACAAAACCACTACTTCTTCAGAAAGAAGTCGTCCTTTACATAAAGACACTAACAAAACTGAAGTCTCCTGGAGAGGGTAGGGTTATATAAGCATGCTCCTAGGAGCAGTACAAGTAAAATTTGTCAGAATACAAAACCTGTGTCTTGCACTGTATGATTAAGATATCTACCTTTTGTCTGGAATTCCTACTGAAAACTAAGTGCACTTCCTGGTATGTGAGAGCCTCACAGCGAGATCTAAAACACTGCTTCTTCTATCTTGCTAGTCTCATGAGATTTGAGGATGTCAATACTGTGCTGCTCACTGTTCTCCTTGCTTGAGGCTCCAACTTGAAGAAACAAAGCTCAGTCTCTAAAAAGATGGCTGCCTCCACACTGAGACACAGTGCAGAACAAGACGTGGTAACGTCAGTACTGGGGATAGATTTGCTGGAAACAGACCACAGGCAACACAGGAAACTAGTCCATTGTACCTCAGAAGAGGAGGTTTGGGGCCTTTCAATATAAACATATTAAAAGAGAGAGAAAAAAAAAAAAAAAGAAGACTACAATCACAAGAAACATTTCTTCCATTATAAAAAAACATCTGGCACCTGATGTGAAGAGGCTTTGTGGCTCCGGAGCTGTGGGCCATTCACTTGATGTCTGTGGGGAACTGGGGAATGGAGGAAGTCCACTGGGGATGGGATTTGGGTGTCGGAAGTTGTCCGAGAACAGTGACTGTGATTCTGCCATAGCATCTTCAAAGGGAGACCGTGCGCTGTGATTTGCTGAACTGGTGGGGATGGCTGTGTTGGGTTTGGATAAACCTGGCGGAGGTGACGGGGTGTCACTTGTTAATATCTATTGAAAAAAAAATGGCGTTAGCAAAACTAACTGAAGTTTTTGCAAATAACTGCAAAAGTTACGTAAAAAACACCACTTGAAGACCTGATTTGTATTAAATGGTCATTTTAAAGTATATATAAACATTACATTTTCATATCAGCTATAACTTGTTAATCAAATTTCAAAAGTAATTTTCAATATTCTATGACTTAGAAAAGAGCTTTGGCCATACTTCACTTTTAAAATAACACTTCCTGATGCTTGTTCAGGCACTTCCTATAAAACGAAAAAATTAATGTTAAAAAAAAAAAACACAACAGAGACTTTGGTGCCAGCTTACAGCACCTGCTGTTTGTTTACATTAGAAAGTAGGTTGGCTGCCAAAAGGAAGCAAGGAGAGGGGTGAGCCCAGTGCCTTTGTTGTGAACTTTAAGGATGATTTTCTCTACTGTGCCTAAACCTATAAGGCGGTCAGGAGGGGATTTTCTTACAGCTCATTTACTGCTTGATAAGAATATGTAAATAGGTGAAGGTCTATTATAGTCCTGCCAAAAGATTTGTACTCCTCTCCACCTAGACATAAGATTTCCACAATCCTGCCACCCATCACATCCCCACCTAAAAGTAGAGTAGATCTGAGAAGATGTTTTCTCCACTACTGTTCAGTAACACTTCCAGGCCTTGTCCTTCCTTCATTCAGCCTGTGAATTATTTGTAAAAAGGAGCAGCAGCAGCAGCAGCAGATTGATATATTCATCTGTCACTCTGCTCTCTCCACCTATCAACACATGACACTGCAGAACACTTGATTGATTCAATATATTGCTTCTCCCTTTCCCAGTCTTAGCTATGCTGTATAGAGGACAGACAGATACCAAGTCAAATTCAGATACTTACTGCATTCTTTTAAAAGTACACTTGATATTTGTCATGAATACAGAACTGCATTAATTTGTGTCTTTTATATCTGGCTGGAATTAAGGTGGCATTGGAACAAGCAGCAGCTCACACACCACTGGCCAATCTACCTTGGGAAGGAAAACCCTCAGTTGGCCATTTAGTTACCCACCCACTGATCGGACCTACTCTTGCAGAAATGGACAGGTTTTTTTTTCATTTATCCTTATCTAACCTTTCCTTCTCCTATGACACAGATTGTTGGTCATTCAGAGATTATGCCGGGTCTTATGGACCCCATCTTTTTATCGCAGGCCCCACCGTGGCTTTTAAGAGCCTCACATTTTTCACAGCCTTCAGAATGGCTTCCTACTAAAACTATACTAACTGGCTGAGTGCCTCTTGCAACAGATTACTGGAGAGCCATCCAGCTTTCACATTTCATAGGTTTCTTGCCCAAACTCCTCCCGCGGAGGCTTCACCCCTTTGAGGAGCTCTGCATGGGTGAGGGTCCAATTCGTGGGTCTTGCACTCTACCTCCTACAAAACTCTGTTGGATATTCATGCCACTGCAGACCCACCTTTCCTAGCAAAATGGGAGAGATACCTACAAGTCACCTTCACTGAACCCAAAAAGGAACGCATACTCTTCTTTGCACAGAAGTTCTCCCTCTGAAGCAAGTACCAAGAAACCACCTACAAAATAATCACGAGCTGGTATAGAATTCCATTGATTCTAGCAAAGCTTTTCCCTAACCAATCCGATCGTTGTTGGTGTTGCGAACACCCTGGCACCCTTTTACACATCTCTGAGATTGCCCCAAGCTCCAAACGTTTTGGCACCGGTGTTTCAACTCATTCACAAATTTACAGACATCTCTTTGCAGGATGTCCTGGCTGCGGCTTTACTTAACCTTACTCCCCCTATCAAGGAAAAGGCACTACAAATCCCTTCTTGATGCTGCTCGGGCATGTATACAAAGTCAACGGAAACAGTCTGCACCAGGCTGCCCAATGGCTTGCAAGAGTAGACACTGAACAGATGGAGGACCTGACTTCTGCTCTTCGGGATAAATCAGAGGAACATAAGACAAGGCGGCTCTATTAGGATCTTTTCCACTTCTCTGTTTAATTCCACCAGTACATATAAGCCCATGCCATGTGCCCTTGAAGTGCACTTACGCACTCTGCTCCACAGGAAGAACTCCCCCCTTCCACCCCCCTCTCCCCCAGCCACGCACCCCCCCCACCCCAAATTTATTTTACTCTTCTCCATCTGCCTTCCACACTTTTATACTTCTTAAAAATTGATATGCTCAAAACGCAGCTGGATACCCTACATTAGACTCCCCCCCCCCCCCCCCCCCAACCTTATTCAAGTAGCTCTTTGTAAATGTCAGGAAGACCCTCCTCTCAAACCAGGTTGGCATGTATGTGGCCAGGCCAGAGGGGTCCCTAAATCCTGATACATTTTGGATACTGCTTACTATGTACGTATCGTTATACCCTTCTACTACTGCTTCAAGTGACCTTTTTACTGGCAATATGTACCTGTATTTTACTAAACATATGCCACCGCATATTGCTTTATGTCCTGTGAAGCTACCACTTTAAATGTCTCTGTTGCATTCCACTAAATGAAGGTTTAAAAAAAACAAAAACAAAAAACTATTAGGAAGAACAGCTTAATGTGCAATAAATCTGCATTTTAAATCTGTGATTTTAGTGCCTGGTTGGATAATTCCATTATTCATAACTAAGTTGGTAATACCTCCCATAAGAGGGAGGGCATGAACCCAATACTTTCCAGAACAGAGCAGCATGACTCACCTGTTGTAAGTTATCACCGTTTCCTATACTTAATGATTCGGATGACTTGTCAACAGAACTGAAATGAAAAGCAGAAGTGAAAAACTTTAAAGTTGCTTTATAAGATAATAAACCTGTCAGTTTTTAATGCCTAAATAGAGGATGTAAAATGTCTTATTATGCCATTTAAAATTAATGTAACCCTTACATGAGGGTAAAATGGAGGTTGTCATTTACGGTCTTATCAAAAGGCTAGTTGCTTGGCTGTCTTGAGTTAATGACCAGCAAAACTAGGGAACAAGTGCAGCCTGAAATCCTAATGCAGGTATTTAGAGTCCATGACTTAAAAGACTGAAGTCATAGGATTAGGTGTAATGACTTCATACTGTAGCATGCAAACTTATCTTATGACAGGTTACCTTTGAACTACCGGGTAAGAGGGATGTTGTACTTTAGGGCCTATTTGCACTGCCTGCACAGTAAACCACAGCAGTTTAGTGTGCAGCTCCAGTGAACTGGCAGTAGGGGGCAGTGTGTTTCAGCACATCACACAGCTGCCTTTTTTGAAGTGAACTTTGCACTTTGAAGTGCAAAGTTACACTTCATCATGTCACTCACTGCACAACAGTGTGGTGTGTTGTGCTACTGTACATGGGACATTTTTAGAGTTGCTGACTCCAATTCACCTTGAAGTTGAAAATCCCTGATCCATGATGTACTGTATGCGGATGCTTGCATTATATCAAATTGTAGTTGACACTGAGATCTTTTTGCACTTCTACCCCTCATGTTTACTGCTCAGATGCCACAAAGCACCTGCTATAACTTTTGTTCGTCAAAAGATCCTCTTCTCCACTCTATACCCCAAGGGCTAAAATATCCTGAGTTCAGAACCAAATACCCCTTGTGAAGCAGGAGCCTAACATCCATCATTACACTGCCACATGAAGGTGTTTTAGGGACCGCAATGGCTTTCAATGACCAAACGATACAAGTGTTTAAAAGGTGCAAGTAACATGCCTCAATGGCTAACAAAGCAGGAACTTTGGCAGGCCTTTCTTAAAAAGGACTTGAAAAGTTTGCTAAGCAAAAAAAATAAAGACTTGTTTGCAGCTGCACATTGATTTATGACAGCTGCACTTATATTTATTGTTAACTTTTATCAGAGAGCAGATAAATGGCTGACCATGCTTGGCTTAACTTTTTTACGGATTCCTGCTGAATTCAAAATCTGATCTGAGGTTGGCCCTGTTGGATTTATAATCTTCCACTAAAAAAAAAAAAAAAAAAAAAAAAAAAAAAAAAAAATCGAAGAAGCTGAGTGAAAAGTTGTAAGCCCAAAAGTGGCTACAAAGGTCTGAAAACAATAGCTAGAAGAGGAGTTTCTTCCATCCATGCCATTTTGCATGAATGGGGGAATCGATCAGATCTCTTGTGCTCACCCCTACAGGCTGATTGAATGAAAAATCTTTTGCTATGTAGGGCTAGCCTAACAAAAACAGAGTAAAAAAAAATACAGTATGATCATATACATTTAAAGCAAAATATAACACTTTGATTTACTCACTGGATCCAAGTAACAAGCATGCAGGAGACATGCTTAACAAATTCAGATGCAGTTAAACAAAAAACAACCCCCCCCCCCCCCCCAAAAAAAAAAAAATTAAAAAAAAATAATAACAGAACACACAGAAAACCAAACTGCAAAACTTGCTTCTAAGTGCTGCATAGCACAGACATATGCAGAGTCAAATTTGAAGGTTAAAATGGACCAGAAATTAAAACATGATAAATTGCTAATTTTAAAGGGGACAACTGGTGAGGGTTATCATATTGTGAAAGATTAACCTTTTGTCTGGAACTCCTCCTGAAAAACAGCAGTGCATTTCCTGTGGCTTGAGCCTCATAGCTGTATACCTGCAGTGTTAAATCATCCAAGGCACTGCTGCCCCTGACTACTAGTCTCACTGAATTTAGAGATGTCACTACTGTGATGCAAGAATCTCTTTGTTTCATGCAATCTTTGGATCTGTGGCTCCTCCACCTCTCCTACCTCCTCTTCTTTGTTTCCCCACCAGTCATTAGATTACCAGTCATCAAGGAGGACAGTCTAACATGTAAAGTAGAATCCATTCACTACCTAGATAGCCACCTTCAAACAGAGACATAGGGGTTGATTTACTAAAACTGGAGAGTGCAAAATCTGGTGCAGCTGTGCATGGTAGCCAATCAGCTTCCATCTTCAGAAAAAACAAAACAAAAAAGAACAAACAAAAAGACCAAAAACACCCCAAAGCCAAAAACAAAACAAAAAACAAAAAAAAACTCTGGAAGGGGATTGGTTTCTATACAAAACTGTACTAGATTTTGCACTCTCCAGTTGTAGTAAGTCATAAGGGGTCGATTTACTAAAACTGGAGAGAGCAAAATCCAGTGCAGCTCTACATAGAAACCAATCAGCTTCCACGTTTTATTGTCAAAGCTTAATTGAACAAACTCAAATTAGGAATGGATTGGCTACCATGCACAGCTGCACCAGATTTTGCACTTTCCAGTTTTAGTAAATCAACCCCATAGTGTAAAACAAGGAAAGGCAAGTCAGAATGGGGAAAATCTCAGCTGCAGGGAGACCAAAGATAATACTGGTTGATTAGTCCTAAAGTTTGTAAATAAATTAGTTTACTGTGAAATTAAGTGCTTGTGCACACCAGAACGAGGTGTGAGAAATCCATGTTTTGTTTGCATTTTACGCACCATGTTCCAAATGCATTGCAGTTGCGAAATGCAGCAGCTGTCAAGGTGAAATTAAAGTGTTTAAGGAAAAAAAAAAAAAAAAAAAAAAAAAAAAAAAATCATGTCATACTTACCTGCTCTGTACAATGGTTTTGCACAGAGCAGCCCCGATCCCCTTTATTTCAGGTTAACCCCTGCAAACGCTACTGGCTCCTTCCTCTTAACCAGTGCCCCCCAATGGAAAAACTCTCTGCTATGAGGGATCTGGTGCATGCACGCTCTATGCTTCCATACAACATACAGGACTGCGGCTTGGCCCCGCCCGTGCTCACTGCTCATTGTGGCTCAATGGCTGTGGTTGACAGCAGTGGGAGCCATTGGTTCCTGAGGCTGAGCCTCAGCTAAGGAGGAAAGAGAGACCCAAGTACTGCCGAGGCTCCCATGCACATTACTGGATCGAGAAGGGGCTCAAGTAAGTATTGGGGGGGCTGTCAGGGGAACAGCATACAGAAGGTGAAAAAAAACAAAAAAAAAAAAAACACCTTACGCCTTTACAACCACTTTAGGTTAGCAACACCCCAAATCCAGGTCACAAAAGCTGTGTGTTTGCCAGCACTGGATTGCATCGTGCAAAAGTAACATGTGATCCAGTTGCAGTGCGTTTTTTAAAAGTAGTGCATGCAGTGCAAAATAAATGGGCACAAAACGCACCGCATTGCACCACATATGAATCACACAGGAAAGAGCTGCACCTGGTGCGATTCAGCTCTAAGAGAAATACAAGCCATGCCAATGCCAACCAACTTCTGACAATTCTAATGGACTGGCTGTTATACCCACTCTATCATCTCTGAATCACAATTATGCGGATCTGGAAAGTTGTGTACAAACGTCAGTCATTCTAATTTATTTATTTCACATCAGTCCCTAACCCTCAAGGGGCGTACAATCTAAGGTCCCTAACTCACATTCATCCATACACATACTAGGGACAATTTAGACAGGAGCCAATTAATCTACCAGCATGTCTTTGAAGTGTGAGAGGAAACCCACGCAGTCACAGGGAGAACATGCAAACTCCAGGCAGGTGGTGCAGTGGCTGGGATTCGAACCAACGACCCTAGTACTGTCAGGTGGAAGTGATAACCATTTAGCCACTGTGCTGCCCTTCTCTGCATATTTATCCTGAGTCAGTAGGGATCCACATGACAGCCAGGCAACCTTCTTTTTCAGAAGATGGCAGTAAAAGTGCCCTCTATGCTTTGCTCATGGTAAAGGTTTTCTTTCATTTTCACTTAGAGCTTTGAAGGGAGCTCATGGCAAGACATTAGCCCTATGACACAAGCCGCCTTGAAGAACATTAAGCTTTAAGCCTGTTGTCAAGCATGCCATGTGAACAGATTTCCTTGTGGAAGTCCAGGACAGGTCAGACCCAGCAGTAGTGAAACACAATTCAGCACATCATATAGGTGTGACGGTTTCTGGATTACACCATGACTTCAGAAGTTTTATTTTTCTTTTTTTTAACCAATAGAGATGTTGGTTTAAGTAAAGTCAGAGGAGCTCCCTTGCCCTTCTCTCAAGCATAGGTCAGACTTTGGTAGGGCATCTGGATCCATTATGTACAAATTTACATTACATGTCTTTCCACCTCACCTTACGCTCGCAAAGGTGGACAGACAGTTCTGAATCTCCCTCATGTCTAATTTCTCGAGCATTAAGAGCTTACATGGTACCTGCTTGAGCCTGCGCAATGATCCTTCCTCCTAAGGCTTCAACTTGAAAAATGATGTGACCTGATTTTTTTAGTATATGTTTTTAACACATGCACTATGGGTCTCCCTACTGAACTATGACTTCATTCTGGGGCCACGGCTGTGTATTATTGTTTGTAGTCTATAGATTTACATGTTTCCCGACTTCCCAAATAACAGTATAGTACTACAAGATTAGATAGACCATTCCCTGGTCATTTCATCAACCCGTAAACTCCAGTTTCAGGCAACACATATAAGTGCTTTTAAGGCATATAGACAATTTCCTAACTGTGCAGGATTTATAATGAAAAGGGTACCCATACACAACTAAAAAGCACCTCTCCCCCCAAAAGCCATACATTTACAAAATTCATACCCAAAAGAACTACAAACAGGAACCATGCTGTTTCCACAGAGAAAAGGCAACAACACAGGCATAGCGTACTGTGGCTACTTGTATTATGGCAAATAGATGTGTATAATAACTAATAGAAGAAACAAAAAATGAAAACGAAATATTCCAAGGACCAATTTCAGTGTAATAAAACATCCACGGCTCAAGCATTCAAGACTCCGCTTGAGTAGGCCA